CTGAGTATTACTTTGACTCTTTTCACTAAACCACCGGTTGATTCTTCTTGATTTCCATATAAAGCATTGATCTTTTTGCCTTCTTCGGCCTCAAGAAATCGAAAACAATGAACATCTTTGTTAGGTGCTTCAAACCTAAGTTCTACAAGAGAAGGTTAGCCTTCTTTTTTCTTAAAAGTTTGAATATATATATATATATCTGATGTGTTTATTAATTACCCGTGTTGAAATGAAATGCAGCAAATCTACAACCAGTTACATGAAGATTCGGCTCGATATAGTGAGGAAAAAAAGGATTGCATTGGTTAAGTTCTTGAAAATGGACATTGTGGATTTTCTCAATAATGGCCTTGACTACAATGCTTATACAAGAGTACGACTTCTTTCTCTAGTTATAACTCTTAAGGTTCCTCTGAATTAGGGTTTTTAAAATCTGCCAAGAACTTGTTATTGCAGACAGAAATGTTACTTGAAGAGCTTAGAATCATATCATGTTATGATATCATTGAACGATTCTGTGATTGTATATCTGAAAATCTCTCACCAATGCTGAAGGAAAGGTTCTTAGGTGTTTCTGTTTAGTCTATTATTTTCATTCCTAAGCTCTCAATGTTTACTAACTTGTGTTTTATTTTGTTTCGTTCCCTATTAGGGAGTGTCCTGAAGAATGCAAAGAAGCTGCTTCCTCTTTGATATACGCAGCTGCATGGGTTCCTGATGTTCCTGAACTTAAGGATCTTAGATCCGTGTTTACGCATAGATTTGGAAGTTTTAATCATTCATCTGTAAATCATGAGGTTGGTTTATTGGTTTTAGCAGTCTAATCTTTGCCAAGGTCGGTTTTGGTTATAAATATAATCCAAGGAAATATTCAATTTGATCATTACATTTTTTAAAAAGTAATATACATATCTTTTAGGTTTCCAAATTATATAAAGAAAACTTTACTTTAAGAAATTAATAATCTACAAAATTTAAGGTCGGTCTTGCCTCTGCCACATTGTTCTGCAATGACAATCGCTTGTCTTTCTTGAAATTTTGCAGCTCGTTGAGAAAACTGAATTGCGTAGTAGACCATCACGTGAACTCAAGATTCAGACAGTAAAAGACATTGCTAATGAGTACTCGATTGATTGGGATCCTACAGCTCTGAATCTGTTTCTGCTTAGACAAACTTCAGCTTTGCAAGTAAACTTGTATTCCAAGTTTTGAATATAGAGAAAAAAACATCAATCTCTCAGCCTTGTTGTTGACTTGTTGTTCTAATGTCTGTAAAATGTGTAGATTGAGGATAAGGTCGATACAACAACAAATGATCCGAAGACTAGGGCAGAGATAAATGGGGTAAATGATCAAAGCGAAGATGAATCGGTTCTTTCACAGAGCTGGACAAGAGATTCACCGTCTAAAGGCAGTTTTAGTTCGAGTTCAAGTTCTAGTTCTCCAAGAAGAGACTCTGAAAAGAAAAAGAAGAAGATTTATCCTTATGGATTAATCTCTCCTACACACACGAAACCAAGAGGGGGAACCGATGAGACAGCACAAGAGGAGAAAGAAAAGAATAATAAGAGTGGCAAGCAAGAAAACTCGAGGTTACTTGAACACAAGGCAGTATCAACAAGAATGAACGAGAGAACGTCTTCGTTCTTCCAGACACCTAAGCTCTTACATGATGAAGTGGTGGCTCGGCTTGCAGCTATTCACCGGATATAAAGGGTCTCTATTCGTAATCAATATATTTGTAATTAACTAATTGCTAATTAGATTCATTAAATATGTAATTTTCCTTGTAATCGGTTTGAAAAGTAGTCCACTAGTTGCATCTCTTCACAGAAATAGCTGAGAGTACTAGAACATATTGATATACAGAAGGATTACTGCCATATAAAACCATATTCGACCCACTTCTGTTTTTATTTCTATAAATTTTAATTGGTGACAACTTGTTCTATGGGTGTTGTTAAAGGGTGAGAATCTGGGTTCGAATCTCACCAATAACCTAATTATGGAGTTAGTGAGAACTTATAATGGAATGGTTGGGGTCGGTGTCCTACAGAACCAGCCTGGCGGCTGTTGGACCCAGAATCGGGCCCATTAACTCGAAGTCCGTCAAAAAATTGTACGAGCGAGTTCGTAGAGCATTCGGGGAAGTACAACGAGAACAAGGTTGAGCCTAGTGACCACAATAAGGCCCAAGCTCACATTTTATCATCGCGTCGCGATCAACAGACAACGTGAGGTCGAAATGGGACCCCAAAGATCGCGGAAACACTTAGAAGAGGAGAGAACTACAAAAGGAAGCTAAAGCAAAGTTTAACACACACGAAAAAACCCTAGAGCTATTCACTAATCACATCGACCTCATCCTATAGATTCTAGTTCACCTTCTTGTATTTTTTTTATTGTTATTTCTGATCTTGTTCATCACTTTGTAATCGAATTTCATATTCAATAAAAGTCCATTTTTTTTAACCGAAGTCCGATTGTATCGTTGTGTTTAAGAGCATCGTTGCCCACATCCTTTGTCTTCCCTTGATTGAACTCTCGATCTCTACAAAATACTGAGTGTGGATTTTAGGATCTACATTTTGGCGCCGTCTGTGGGGAAGATAAACGAAAAACGCCCTTGCTAAAAACCCGATCTAGGATTTCTAAGCGCTATTATGGACCTTAACCAAACCCAATCTGGATATCCCAAAAGAAAAGCAGTCGAACACGATTCTTCGGGAGCTGCTGTCATCATGCCGTCGGGGAAACCACGACCACCTGACAACGATACCAGCAGCCCGTACAAAAGGTGAGCTCTGCACCGAGAAACAATATGCCCCCCCCCCAAAAGTTCGACAGCCATCACAGGCCGAAAGAGGAACCGACGCCATTAAGGAGACTCCGACTCAGAAGGAAACTCTAACCTTCTATGAACACGAAACAGTTAAACTCGTTGTGCCACACGACGAAGCCCTGATCACTACAATCGATCGCGCCGGAGTAACCGCAACAAGTGCCTTCATTGACACAGGTAGCGCCAGCAATATTATACCTCGAGACACTCTTTGATTGATAGATCAAGGTGGCCACACCGTCCATCGCGAGATTGATTTCCACCTCGACTTTGACGACCGGAAAGTGCAATTCTTGGAGACCGTATCCATCGCGACCAGAGTCCAAGATTAGGAATTCAAATCCAAATTCGCTGTCTCCGAACACCCTATTCATTTCGACGTCGTTCTAGGGAGGTCGTGATTACATAAAATGAGGGTGATCCCGTCAGTCTATCACCATTGTGTGAAATTCATGTCACCTACCAGAGAAAGAACAGTTTATAGCAGTCAGAAGAGATCCAGAGCCTGCTGCCTGGCAGATTTCCGAAAAATGCACCCGCAAGAAAAGAAAATCCCATCTACTCGCGATCTCGTGATCAAGAAAAACGAAGAAAAATTATCGAGCTCGATCCCACTCGATGAACGATTTCCCGACAATTGTTTCAATATCCGAAATGACCTTCCTTCAAGTATAAGACATGACTTATTATCATTCCTGAGAGAAAGTATAAAGACATTTGCTTGGACGGCCGCCGATATGCCCTGGATTGACATCGTGATAACACCTCATCAGTTGAACATTGATCCTACTCACAGACCAGTCAAGTAGAAGCGAAGGAATTCGGGCCCCGAACGTTCGAAGGCTGTAAACGAAGAAGTCGAGAAACTCCTTAAGATCAGATCCATCCGCGAATTCCAGTACCCAAGCTGGCTGGCCAATCCCGTCGTGGTGAAAAAGAAGAACGGAAAATGGAGGATCTGCATCGATTTCACCGATCTCAATAAAGCATGTCCAAAAGATAGCTTCCCACTGCCACATATAGACCGGCTAGTGGAAGCCACAGCCGGACACGAACTGCTATCATTTATGGACGTTTTCTCCGGTTACAATCAGATCCTTATGGATCCGGAGGACCAGGAGAAAACGAGTTTTATCACCGAACATGGTACCTATTGTTATAAAGTAATGCCGTTTGGACTGAAAAACGCAAGACCAACCTACCAATGACTAGTGAACAAAATGTTCGCCTAACAGCTCGGAAGAACGATGGAAGTCTACATCGACCGACATGCTCGTCAATTCATCGAAAGCAAATGACCACGTCCTCCAACTCCAAGAATGCTTCTAAATCCTCAACAAATTCGGAATGAATCTAAATCTGACCAAAATGCACATTTGGGGTAGATTCAGGAGAATTCCTCGGGTACCTAGTAAAAGAAAGAGGAATCGAAGCTAATCCCAAACAGATCAGAGCGCTAGTAGTCACTCCGCCGCCAAGATCCATTCGAGAAATGAAGCGACTAACTGGAAAGATCGCTGCGCTGAATCGCTTTATCTCGAGATCGATCAACAGATGTCTTCCATTTTACAAGCTCCTGAAAGGGAACAAAAAGTTCGAATGGAATGAAGAACGTGATCTCACACTAAAAGAACTGAAAACATACATAAACCAGCCTCCGGTATTGTCGAAACCAATCGAAGGCGAAACATTATTCCTATAGGTAGCCACTTCCGAGCACACGGTCAGCAGTGTACTGATCCGAGAAGAAAGCGGTGAGCAGAAGCCGATATATTACACCAGTAGATCTCTAATAGACGCCGAAACAAGATACCCCGCGGTGAAAAAGTTGGCCCTAGCAGTCGTCACGGCTGCAAGATATTTGAGGCCGTACTTCCAATCGCACTCGATCATGGTAATAACTCCGCAACCCTTACGAACCATTCTTCATAGTCCAAGCCAATCAGGGAGACTAGCTAAGTGGGCAATCGAACTCAACGAATAAGACATCGATTATAAGCCTGTAACGAGTGCGGAAACCCAAGTTCTCGCCGACTTTGTTATCGAGCTCACTCCAAAAGAGGCCGACTCGGATCTAAGTTTGAAAAAATGGAAATTGTACGTCGATGGCGCATCCTAGAAAAAGGGGTTAGGAATCGGCATACAACTCGAATCCCCAACCTGAGAGATAATCGAGAAATCTTCATGCTTATGATTCAGCTCCTCCAACAACAAAGCCGAGTATGAATCCCTAATCGCCGGATTACGACTTGCTCAAAGCATCAAAGATCAGGAGATAAATGCCTTCAGCGACTTGCAACTAGTTACGAGCCAATTCCACGGAGAGTACGAAGCTAAAAATGAGAGAATGGAAGCATACCTCGAAGTTCTGCGAGATATCACGGAACATTTAGATAAATTCGAGCTTACGAAAATACCTCGAGGTGAAAATAAGTCGGAAGATGCTCTCGCTGCGTTAGCATCAACATCGAATCCCACAATAAAACGCATAATACCGGTCGAAGGGATCAAAATAACGAGCATCGATTTGCCACGCAAGGAGCAAAAGTCGCCAGAAAAAGACCATCATTGGATAGGAGCGATTGTTACCAGAAGCAAGGCCATAGCAACCCATGATGTCATCGACGAGACACAAAAAGACGAAGACGTCCTTAACGACCCCGAAGATGAGGAAATCAGGATATCGCAAAGGCACGAAAGGAGCTGTGCGCCGCATGCTCGAAAAGAACGAAGATCTTCGGTCCCCTTCGAAGAGGCGGATCACCAACCTGACGCGACACACAAAGCCTTCCAAGAAGAACTCGAAAGTAGAGTCGATTGGAGAATCCCGATCTATAAATCCCTACATATTAAAAGAGAATCATTTAAAAAGTTGTAACCTTAAGTTTGTAATAATTAAAAATAACCTCAATTCTATGTGGCATAGCTCTTTGTCTTCTATTTCAATTTAGAATGATTATAGAGTATGTAATATAATATATAGTCTAAAATTATACTTTCTATCAATATAATATTTCATAAGCTATAGTTGGTCGCATATATCAACTATTTATTCTTTCGCATGCTTTTCTTAAATAAAACCTACGGAATTACCTAATGTGACTAAAATATATATATATGACAATTAATTATTTTAAACAATAAAGATTTGATAAAAATCTGTATACTTTTTCTCATTTTGTTTATTTCTTAATTATTAAAATAAATTACACAATTACATTAATCATATAATAAAAATAATATTTTTTTGTGTATGTTGTATTTCAAATTTTTCAAAATGAGTATAAATTACTAAAACTGTTAAAAATCTCACATAAACTTTTAGGATCAAGTTTTTAATTTTTTTACTATATTAAAATATAATGATTATAAGACCATAAGAAGAAATAATTTTAGTTTATAGATATTTCATATCGTTTAAATTAAACTATACATCGTATGAAACTACATACTTATATTTTGACATTTGCATTGAACATATATTGAAAATTTAATATTTTAATTTTGAAATATGTCATTGTTTTTTTAAAATGATTATAAATTATTGAAACTACTAAACATAAAAAAAACTAGTTGGTGTAAAGTTTTGTTACACAAATATGCAAACAATCATAAAATCATATGAGTAGAAACCTCATTTAATAAATATCCATATTAAAAATGTGCTATATTACTATGTTTATATCATTTATATTTAATTATATATCATATATAATATACAAGATTGATTATTTTGATTTATTGACCCTAATTGTGAATAAACAAGAGTGATAGTTAAATTTATATGCATACGCCAATTTATTACATAATAGTAACTGATTTATTAGCTATTTACTATATATATTTATCATTTTATTATTTTATAATATGCAAAAAAATATAAAATAAATAATAAATATAAAATACTTATTGTTTATAAAGTGCAGATCTTAACCTAAGTATGTATCTCTTTAATTATTTTAAATCTTAAGTATTTTCTAAATCCCAGGTAAACAAACGAAATGAGACTAAACTTCAAAATAAATATTTATATCGAGTAA